TTTCAATATTCTATAGTGTTCCCTTTAGGCATTTACAGAAACCTTAACGTTATTTATTATTTCCTGTAGCCAGCTCCATGTGTTTGTTAGAGCGGTAGGATCAGCCACATCACATAGTATGTTTAGCATGTTGTTTTCTTTGTACTACGTTTAACATTGTTATAGTTTCATGGACAATTTGGATATTACTTTATTATCTTCATAATCATTTTCTGTGTTGTAACATTGGAAAGTTACTGCTACTAACTCAACACAGTTTAAATAGTAACATATGTCATAAATTGGTCACAGATGTCACTTTAACATGAGACTGTAGAAGTGATTGAACGAGTTTTCTTTGACCCAAAGACGCTATACATTTGTACTATGGTTACGTTTTTCAAAGACATCTACTTCTACGACAGTAGTTCAAGCCCACAACTAGTGTTTCTCTGTTTCCTAAGTAATGTATAATATTTATTTACTGTTACCCTCCATTAACTTTAGTAGTTAAGCTATTTAATAAACCAGTGTCACTATTTTTTTATTTTTATACTTATATGATTAAAATGTTTAAGTATTGCTAGCTTTATATATCTATTTAGAACTACCTTAAATCCCCTAAGCTGACCTGGCTTCTGTAGATATTATTGGAATTATGCCCGAATATATCATTAACACAATTGCTACTACTGTACCAGAAATCAACCAGGTATGGATTCAACGTTAAAACTGGTATACAATTAAAAACATTTTATTTAGACCTATCTATGACCTTCAAAAAGTTGACGACTCTACGTGTTGCAACGTCATCCTCAGGAGTGAAATACAAGACAATGCTAAATAGAAATGAAGGTATGGCGAATATTTCTACAAGAATGTGTATTGATCTCCTTTGAATGGTTTAGCATGAATTTATGTAAAATAGCATACACGTCACATGACCTACTAACAAGTTATAAATACTTTAGCATTGGCTTGTAATTTACTCCTGACAGTGACGTCGAAACATGTAGAGTCGTCAACATTTTGAAGACTATAAATAGGCCTAAATAAAATGTTTTTAATTGTGTACGAGTTTTAACGTTGAATATTATTTATGATTTTAACTTTATACACAAGTGCCAAAATACAATAATACACTTATGATTTTACATGTTTCCCACATAAAAGATTTAGAAAATAAACTTCATTTCTTCCACAGTACTGTTATTTGACCTAGCTGTCTGTCCGTTCAGCTGTGGTTTTCTCGTCCTTTCAAGACTTTTGATGGCAGTGAAAACAACTGAAATTATTAATTTACATCTTTAGTGATTCCTATAACTAGTACTGTGTCGTGAAATAGACAATAATTTATGGACGAGGTTTAGGTATGAGGTACAACACTAAAAATAAAAGGGGAAGGGAATGGGGGTGTAAACTGTTCTCTTTAACCAATGACGTTGTGTTCGTTTTGCTCCGCCTATTCCCGTGAGGGACAATCTGGGAAGCCATCCGCACTCTTCATGTCCTTCACAGTTTCACAATGATCTGTAGAATAGGTGGGACTGCCGATTACTAACGGGCTAATTTCGCGGGAATAAGAGCACGTTGGACATCATGGAAGTTTTTGCTGGAACTCTGCATTGATGTATGAGAACTAAAAACGCATTAACAAGAAATTGAAACATGTTTTACACGAAGTTGTTTTCCAGCAGGTAAGTTAGAAGCCGAAGAACAACATTAATTTTGCCTTTTTTTTTTTCTTTCCTTTTTTGTAACTATTTCCCTCCATCTTATTTATTTGTTACCAACAGGCTTGTATGACGACATATTTCTGGTTGAGGGAACGAAGCAATTAACTCTATTAGAAATATGTCGTTATACAAGCTTGGTGGTAACAAATAAATGGAAAAAAAAAAGATTTATTAAGACTTTTTTTTTCGATTCTACGATATTTTCTTGTTTAATTAATTTAAGCACAAATGTTAGAGCTAATCTTACACCAAGCAAATTTAAACGTTCGAAGTTTGTAAGTTTCGTGCTGTGACTCTAGTTACAAAATTGTTCTTAAACGAATACTTTTAAGTTTTATCGTGAAAAAAAAAATCAGCATGTGTTGAGATTTTAATCTAAACAATAATTACCTTTCGTGCGTATTCTGTGAAAAGCAACAAGCGTGTAAGTGAGATGAAAATATCTAAGTCTAACATGCTTGGTCTGCTTTGCTTTTGACGTTAAGCATTTTCCTGTTGATGTATTTGGGCATGGTGACCCCGTAGAGAAGTTCGGAACTAATGCTTTTGACCTCCTTAGGCCTAATTATTTCTTTGCCGGATATAACATGAGAACAAAAGTGAACTGAATCTAATTGTGCATCAAGAGCTTCCTAGTTCCTTTTATTGACAGTGAATGGCATCAGGGAACGTCTGAGAAATTAGTTTGTAGATTCGGGAAAAGCATATCACGTCAATAACTGTACGTAAAACTTTCGTCCTAGTTTTGTTTTTGTTAAGTGCCCTAGATACCTGCCCAGAGTTCTACTATTTGTATTAACATGTAAGTATAAATAGTGTTACAAAGATAAGAGTTGTACTGATGAGTTGTAACATCATGAATTGGTATTCTTTACCTGGACGTATACGCCTAAGGTAAGAAACTAAACCCTTTCAATACGTAAAGGTTCGACACGTTAATAATAATAATATTTACCCTTTTCATCCATAAGGGTTTAATATTATTTATTATTTTATAATAAGTGTATAATCTACCGACAAGAATAATATAAGTAAGTGAAATTATAGAATAACAAGTTTTTAATTCTTTTGATTTACACCTAGAAAAAAGCTTTACTGATCTTTCTATTTAACTCAGAATCGTAAAAGGAACTACTGTAGGGGGTGTAGGTATTGGGGGTGGGCAAGATTTATTTGACCTAGTGAAATGTGCGCCAGAGGTACATCCATTACGGTCGGGGTCCAGGGCTCGCCTTGGAGCCCTGGAAGTTCTTGGGTTCTGGATTAAGTTGTATGTATTCTCCTGCTTTTCCCCCGAGAGTAATTTTCTTAATTTTTTACACCACTGGACTATACACATTTTAAAAAGTTTATTCAACTGATAATCCTAATAATGTCCTTATACTTTAAAATAAAAAAACGTGCTCATATTTGTTGTACGATAAACATAGAAAATCACATCCTTTTGATAAGGG